AAGTTGTGTGTAATAATACGAAAAGAATAATAAGCAGTATTAAGAATAATACTCCTCCACTCCATTTTCCCTCTCCATCCTTCCGCTGTCGAAACACCCCCGCTCGAGTTATCGAGAAAACAACTTCACTTCGGACTTTTTCGATGAGACTCACTGTAGCGGTCCAACGATCGGATTACTAAGTATCCCAGAGATAAAAGTTTTATATTGAAAAGTAGCCCTTGACCAAGGGCAGTGCGAAGATATAAAAGCAAGATGCAAGTACCTCAAAAATCGAAGAACATTTCGACACTTTTTAAAAAATCCGAAAATTTTTCCACCATTTTTTGAACTCGCCCCCCTTCGGTCTCGACGACCCCGTCTTGACCTTCTCCTGGGCCCAAGGGTGTGCCATGCAAAGTTTGGCTGCTTTAGTTCTTACAGGGACTGACTGCATAGAGAACAAACAAACATACAAACAAACAAACTTTCCAAACAACTTCTTTATATATATAGATGTAAAAAAGGCAGAAAAAATTTCTACCTAATAGACTTTTTTTATAAATTTTTTCCCTAAAACTGATGCCAGTTCAATGTAATCTGGTCGTTTGCATTATTTTTTTCTTCAACCCCTTTTGCTCAAATATAACGAGTAATATATCATTCGAATCAGCTACTCAAGCACCACTAAATCCTGTATTTTGTTTTTTAATTTGTCATGGATGTGGGGGTTTTCGAGATTTTTTCATACTTGGACTTTTATATGAATTAAAATAATTAGTGGAAAAGAATGCCGTGATGAATTTCTTTAATAATTTTGAAGACTTGCAGTTTTCAGCATTGCATAAAGGAGATAATTAGCTACTACTTGACATAAAAGTATTTCAGAAAATACCGCCTGCATGTGGTATACATTATTAGTCTTTGAAAGAATAGGTCGCGGTTTTAGGATCGACGAGAGTAACCCCTGTATTTCCCATGTAGATATGATAGTCTAAAATGTTCTCTACAAAATGGGAATTAAGCGATGTCTAATCCTTCGTGGCTTAGACGCGGCACCGGATCCGACAGGGTCCTTTGAGCCTAAATTATTGGATCATTTGAGTTATGGTCAATTCACAGATCAAATTTCGAACTGATTTTCACTTCTCAAGAACCTTCTGTATAGAGAACAATTTTATTACATTATGTGAAATTAAAAGTACCATTCAATATATCATTAGATAAATTTGTTTCAAAGCGATGAACTATTGGTTTGAGAAGACCTAAAATGGATAGAATATTCTCTTATGGTGCACAGTGCATCGGTGATGTTAGATATCATGAGCTTAGTGAAGATACTCCAGAAAGTATGCACGTAGATATGCACCAGTTACACATTTTTGCCAGTTAACTTTCTTTGTACACAGTTGACGTGTGAAGTTAACGAAAACGTCTGGATTTCGTCATAAGAATGATGTTGTATATATATATTAGATAGCGTAACAAAATTTTGTGGTAAGAAAGAATCATCACTAGCAAATAAGGGATATCTCCTTTCAAGCAAGATATCCCATGTGCAGACATTTTTTTCGTTGAGCGCATCGATAGAAAAGAAAGAGAACGCAAAGATATCCATATCCGAAAGTGATATCTCCTTATTTAGTAGATTCCTATTAATGTTATCTATTACACAGCAGGAGCAGAAAATGATACACATGATAAAATGCATTACATTGCATCATTGAAATCCTTCTCATGCGCTTTTCTCTGATACTATAGGAGCATATAAAGAAATCAACGTATAATTAGAAAGCTGTTTCAATCCTCTACAAACTGATGTATTATAATATCTTCATTGATTTGCAAAAGGTTGTTACGCTCAAATGTTCGTAGTTTTCCGCTTCTCACAGGACCATTCTGAACTAAAAAATAAGGTGGGTCGATTCTTTACCTTGTACGCATCCGTCCTTTGAAACGTCTTCTATAGGACTCATCTGTTCTGCAGAAAACTTACTTATCGTAAAACTTCGTATGTAAAAGATCGTAAGTTGAGATTTGTCATTTAGCATCCGCTATTTGCTTTCTCTGTGCTCATTGTTTCTTATTAGAACCATATATAAACTCAGAGATCAGGAGTAAGTAAGTTCGATTACTGTTACCTCAAAACTAGTCGAAAGAAAACAATATCGAGTATACCTCGTTGAACACACACGAAAAGAAAGATTAAGCATTGAATTTCATTGGATTCATCTGGTTCATTAGATTTAATGCGTTTAAAAAATTGCACTAGCTTCTGATCTACGGACGTTTACTTTTGGCCAAGAGTAAACATGACAACAACAATACTTATGGAGGGATTCAACTGTTACATTTTCTTTCAAAAAATTAACTTATTAAATCGTTCATGGTGAAATAAAAGATTTTAGCCATTTTTAACTTCTTTCTTGAAGACAATATCGGATTTCTGTATGTAACGAAGCTGAAAGAATGTTAAGGTCAGGGATAACAGGTCGAAAGCAAGAAAATCAGTAACTAAAAGTCCAAAATCAGAAAAGACTCTGAAAAAGAGGTTCAAAGTCAGAAAATCAGTAGACTTTTGCACAAAAAAGAGCAGAAACGAGGCAGAAAATGTTCTTAAACTCAAAATTTTTCTGCCAAAATCAGGAGATCTTGAATGCCTGGTTAAAGATATACCGAAACACGTGCATACATCGTCCATCGGTTCGACAAAAGAAAAAACATGCTTTGAACACATGTATTTTTTTGTGCAGACGGAGTACGTGCTGTGTGAAAAACTTCAGGTTTTAGAAATATTCCGAAAGCTAAGATGACATAAAACACGCAATCAACTTTTTGAAAAACGGGTAACTCGACGTATGAATGGAGCAAACTAGCTGTTCGACGACTTTTTCGTTTTCTTAGCTTTAGATAAATGTGTAGTTTAGAAAAGCGAAAGAATTTTAGTGAAAAAAGTTAAAATTATAAACCGCTATATCAAAAACTAGATAAACATGTATCATTTATAGTTTTGGTTTTATTTTCAACATGACGACAGCGTGAGCGTCGATTGCTGTTGCATTATAATATTGCTGAAAATCACCAAGATCCTCATGTTTCCATAAATCTCTTACTGTTGCTATTTGTGTTTTGTTGAATCCAATTTCATTCCAAAAAACAGTGATTCCTTGTGTCCGTAAACTACGGTTCAATAACAAAACTACTTGAGCACCGTCTGCTAGTGGACCAGCCCATACTTCTAAATCATTTTCTAAATCTAATCGTATTTTGCTACCTTGCACACCCAATGCATCTTGATTTACTTTGATTACTTCTTGATTTGCCAGTATTTTCAAAGTATCGGCACTCATATTTGTCACATCACAACCGATTAACAGTGGAGCTTTTGATATAGCCCAGAGACTCATGTAAGAAATATATTCTGTTGAAGACATATGACCATTACCAATTTCAAGCATATCTAAAAACAACGAAAGGTAAAACTGATTCTATTATACACACGTAAACAGAGATGTCAGAATATCAGTACGCAGTGTATTCGCAAAAAGAGACTATTTCCTGGGCTCGATGTATTCTCAGTCACAATACTCGAGAATATACCAGAATACGTAAATATATAAATTTCTATAAAATGTGCTGAGCTTGCTGGATTTGGTGTATTCTCAGTGACGATACATAATATAGTGTCGCGGTCGGGGGAAGGTGCAGCATGAGAGTGACTATGCAACATTTGTGTATTCTTGTGTATTGTCACTGAGAATACACCAAGCCCAGCAAACCCAGCAAGTTTGAAAAAAATAGTCTCTTTTTGAGAATACACTGCATACTGACATTCTGACACCCCTCCACTTAAAAGAGCAACCATTTTACCCGGATCATTCCATCCACCTGGACCAGCGAATTCAGCAAATAAATTGTTAGCATCAATAATCAATAACATTGTTGCCCATTTATCACTAATATCCGGCGTTGTTCTCCAACTATTGCCAACTTTCTTTGCCCAAAGTGAAGGTAGAAATTCTCCCCATTCACACATCGAATAAAAAATTGGACGACCAGTTTTGTTCAGCGCATCTCTCATTATTGGATATCTCAACATCGGTACAATGTGCTCAGCATTGCAGTTGTCATATTTTAAATAATCTACTCCCCACGACGCATATGTTTCAGCATCTTGCGTTTCAAAACCAAGTGAACCGGGACGACCTGCACACGTTTTATTTCCAGCATCCGAATATATGCCGAATTTTAAGTTTTTTGAGTGTACATAATCTGCAAGTGCTTTTATTCCACTCGGAAATGTGTTTGTATCCTCATGAATTATTCCATGTTCATCTCGTTGATATGCCCAACAATCATCGATATTTAAGTAAGTGTAACCCATAGATGCCAGACCAGAAGAGACTAGAGCGTCCGCAGTTGACCGGATGATTTGTTCATTTATACCACAACCATAATGATTCCAACTGTTCCATCCTAAAAAATCAAAATTCTATGCACAACGGATCTAAACAAAAATCAGAATAAACGTACCCATTTGAGGAGTAAGACCTAGTCCATTATCAAGTGCCACAATTACTTTTATGTATAATACAGCAAACAAAATTATTTGAATGCAGTTCATTCTTCAAACTAAACTCATCAAAAAAATTAAGTATTTTTTTATGAGTAAGAATATGTTCTAGAACATTAATTAATTTGAGTGATTCATTTCTTTCTTGTATTTTTTTATTCAATATAAATTCTAATATAATTGTTTAGAATTCCTCTTATTTAACTAATATTTACCTAGATTCTTCAAGTTAAATGGTAATATACTCTGTTTTCACAAGAGACATATGTGTTTTTGTTTGTATATTTCTTACCTATATATATATATATCATTATGTAAGACTTTTCACATGCGAGTCACCGTAATCTATGCCTCTATCGCACGTTGCTACCTGTGGAAGAACGGGAAAAAAAACAAAGACAGATATACGTTTTTTCTGTTCAAACAACAGACAAGAGAAAAAGAAATCATAGAAAGTCTAATATTGGACAAGACATTTAAAAGGAAATGAAAAATATATCCACTATGATTTTTACTTTATAACAGAGATTAAACTCTCGTCGATTTGAATTTAATTTGAGTTAGAAATTTTGATGTGAGAAGTTTTCTCGGATTAATTATAATATTCAGACAAAAATAATTGAATCAGATATGAAATTTTATATAAAAATGAACATAAAGGACGGTTTGATATTTTTTCCTTTATGCAGGATACTACTTATGTAGAATAATGAGAGTGAGAACTAATTTCTATCAGTCTTACGATGTTAACACTACTCTATACATTTGAATCAAGACCTAATCAATTTTAGTTGAGAAGTAACACTCCTATTTAGTTTCTGTTCAAATGTCCTATATTTTTCTTAAAAATCCGTGTTATTCAAGCCAGAAGGTGTTGTCATACTTCGTACCCCTCCATAATTATGAAAAGTATGAAAAGAGT